GGAATCTCCTGGTCATGCACCCGAGGAGCTAAAACGTTCACGTCACCATTGTTTATAACAGCAAAAACTAGAAACCACCCCAACGCTCATCGATTGGGTGAACTGTGGTACTGTTACACATCACTTGACGACAGGGACGAGTTCTGCGAACTGTATCGTTAGGCCATTTATCCTTGTGTCATCGTCATAGAGTGGACTTACAGAAATCTACTTAGACTTTCCAAAAACTCTTCAGCTGCCTTTGCATCAGCACTCACAGGCTCAGCAGTTGCCTGCATGTTATGTGATAAGCAACGATTCTTAGATCAGGTAAAACACCCAGAGCTCACGGGACATTGGACATCACAGTCAGGTCCAGCCTTTTCTTTCAACATCATGACAAACTTTGCTTTGGTGCTGAGACGGATATCCTGGGTGGCGCTTGGTTTCTCCACGGCCTGTTTCCTGCAACGGAATCTTACCGTTCAGTTTGCAGGTGAGGGAAAGGAGAGATGTGCACACATACAGGGTGAGATTCATCTTATTACCATGTCCCAAGTTCCAAGAGGCTCTCCTGATCCAATGGGCCATCCTCCCTCTCACAATCCCACTTTCTATCTGGTTAATTCTCAAAGTAGGCTTGTCGTGGGTTAAATGTTCATTGCGTATTGACTAGAAAAGTCGTCCATTCCCCGGAATGTTGGAATGCCCATCTATGCCCATGGTACCCACCAGTCCTTATTCCTTCGCTCTCTGCCTCCCTGGGTCAGCACAAATGAAATGGGCGCAGATATCTCACGGGAAGGACGTGGGACAGTGGGAGGCACTTCCTCCAGCCCCAGCTGGGCAATACACTGGCATGGCATCTTTGCTGAAAATAGCATACCAAGGGCACATGATTAATATTCCCAAGTCCCACGCCCACGTACTTGACGGAAGGAGGATGTTGTTAAGAGCTAAGGTAGGCTCCACGGAAGATCAGCTGGGTGGAAATGCACCCTGGAACGGTTCTCAGGAAACGAGTGAGAACTCTGTGTGCTTGGCTACATCCTCTGTCCTCATGTGTGTCCTGCCCTTCCACACGGTGCTGGGTGATCTCTGCTTGGAATGACGCTCACCCCCAGGTGAAATGTTAGGCCCTGCCACTGCTGTTTTGAAACAAGCTGGTGCCCAGGTGTATGCTTCTACACTGGGTCCTCAATCTCTGGTAGGACCCTTTTCTGAGGACCCTCTCTCAGGACACCCTTGCAAAGGTTCAGAGCACTTACAACCATGGTGGAGTGAGCATTTGAAACACGAGAACCCTCCGATTCTCAGAAATGTTCCTTTGTCCCCCACCACAGATGCACTGATCCTGGCTGTGGCCACCCAATGCTGTCCTGATCCCAGGCGCAGAGGAAAGAGTTCAGTAACGACCTGGCACTTGTCATAAGAGAAGAGGCCTCAGCCGGTCCTACCTCTGGTGGAGTGATGCCCTCACTCTTCCTCCCACCGGCCATGTCAGTTCAC